ATATCATCTGGTAAATTACCTTCATCTAGTTTCCTCTTTTCACCTGGTACTAAAAAAAAAAAATATTTTCCAATTTTAGACTTGATTTTAAAATAGGCTGAGATGATACTCTATACTTAAGAGATTGGTCATATCAATTTCTGTTTTGCCAATTCAATAAAAACTTTGTAACAATTTGTTTGCCAATGAAATTACTTGGAATTAAGGCCAAGACTTAGGTTCTGGTACAACTTTAATACTAGAGCAATATCAAAATCCTATAATCATGAGCTACCAATTAACCTTCCATGAAAAATATACAATTTAATTCGATTATAGTTTATAGTGATAGATTTTGATTTGGCTAATCAAAAAGAAAGAATGATCATTTTGAATTCCAAAACTGCGTTGCAATACTTTCCAAAGTGAACCCTTATCTTGACCAAGGCGTATTATCATACTGTTACATATAAATCATACTTTACCTGCTTCTTGTGATTTAGAAGATCTGCGTGTTGTGATAGATGGTATTAGGCCAGGACTGACATTAATCAGGGTAAAATTATCACCATTACTATTAGTGCTGTTACCACTAGTAAATCTACTTAAACCACTTACACCAGTAGCACTATTTGGTGATGTCGCTACAATAAATGATACATGAGAAACTTTTATATTTTTGTTACCATACAATTACAAGATGCCAAATTCCTGTGTTTTGAAGAGTGTCAAAATCAGGAATATCTCTTATTTTTCTGGTTCAACAGGGACATCTATCTCAAAGACAATTATTTCTCTTTGCTTGCCTTTTCCAACCATATAAAGCTAGTTATGTTTCTTTAAGACCAAACCTTTCATTTATTAGATCATGACATTATTTGTGATTGAGGCTGACTATCTGAATCACTGGCTGTGGCATAAGTTAAGGTTTAGCAGTCTTATCAAACCCACATTTGCTCATAAGTGTTGGTTCACTAAGCAGAGCAGATGATTGAGTGACTGTGAAAACCTGTTTTCCCTACCAATTTAACAAATAGTGTTTACCTAAAACTTGTGCTTGAGTAAGAGGCATATTTGCAGGATTCTGTGAGAAATCAGGATCCCATATTGGTGAATTATTATTGTATACTTCCTCTTCTAACATAGACAGAAACCTAGAAAATAATGAGGATATGCCATTATAACAAAGGAAGTATCATTATTTTAACAAAAGTGCATATTCCAATAACATGGTATCTGTTTATGCTGATATCTTTATTGTGTTTATCAGTTTGATACAGAAGTCAAAAACAGTGATACAAAAATTCAAATTTGAAATTAAACATTGGCAATATATTTAATATATTAATGTCTATATTAATGCAAGATTTACAAATTTTAAATAAACTTTGAAGAAATTTGAAAACATTCGGGATATTTCAATTATATTGTCATAAGTGTTTTTTTATTGTGGACTTATATTTGGTTTATCAACTTTATTTATCCTTAAATAAGACTATCAGTTTTGATTCCATTTTATTTACTTCACAAAATACTTTTGTTCTGAAATTATTGTATTAATACTGAAATCATTACCAGTAAGTGCCAGTGTCATTTTTTCAGCATCAAAATCATGCTTACATTCATTTCTTACTTTTCAGTATGTAACTTACCTAGGAAAATGTGTCAAAACAAGTGTCCTCTTATCTGGTGGCATTTTATCTTTTTCTGCTCTGAATTTATCTAACAACTGTCTTCTCATAGTTCGAAATACTGAACGTAATAATGTTCTACCAAATATAACGGTAGTTTCAGATCGAGGTAAACTATCACATAGGCCTGGTACATGACAATAACATAACCATCTACAAAATCATAGAAA